TGTTAAAAATTCCAAATTTTGAAATCGTAGAACTCGGTTAATTTTTCCATACTTCTTATATTTTATTTTGTCAAAATGATTCAAACTTCTTACATTTTATTTTTTATACTGAGTATAAGGGCGATTGTGAGAGACAGAGCGATCGTGAAAATCAGTGTTCAATAATGCTACGTGGCCACTGGTGGACGAACATTTTGAATAAATTGCTGAATAGACTTTTTTCATTCGAAGCATCTTTGTTTTTATTCACAATTGGTTTTTCTTTATCAGTGAGGAATTAATTTAGATTAAAAAAAAAGTAAAATTCTTTGGCTAAGTTTTGAATGCTAAACATTTTGAATATTTTATTTAAATTAAATATTTTCAGTGGTTAAGATTGTCCTCAATAATATGCCAATTAAATTTCTTGATAACTGTAATAAGGGTCAAATTTCACAATTTCTCAGATTTCTTTTGCTTTGGGAGGGGGGGGGCTGCGTGGAACAACTACAGTAATGCTTTACAGAATATGAGGATCTCTATCTAAAAGCCTTACAGAAGGCCTTTTCTAAAATGGAAACATTCACTTAAGTAACATTACCTTGTGTCTGAACTAGAATCGACGGTAAAGATACTTCGACCTTGAAGTACCTAACCTCTCCAATAAGCTAATCAAATTAATTCTAGTCACGTTTCTGAAGATAGCTTTAATCGAACCTATTAGAATGCCTACCCGATGGGCAATCTGTTCCATCCCGTTATTTGATTGATTGACTAAAATTTAACGTTTATTGTTGACATTGATATCAGTGATAATCCGGGAGCTATGTGATGAAAACGTTGCGTAATCATCATATTCAAGCATTTAAAATTCCTTACATTAGCTTTAATATTTTTATACCAACTTATTTGTTGCCAATTTATGTTTTATATAAACGATATTCAAAGTCATTAACAGCCAGTGAACCGAGGAAAAAGCTTCTGTATTACGAATCTGAAAGTCCTAAATCCTTCACCAGCGATGATGCAGATATAAATAATAAAGCGAAATAGTAATTAAATAAATAAAAGCTTAGTAATTAGAAAGCCTTTCGGTAATTATTTGAGTTGAAACTGCTAAAATAATTCAAAACATTTATTCCGTATTTATCATTAATAAAATTTTATTTTGATTGAAAAATAAATCAAGGAATATAAATTTCATACAGGCAATTCAATTGATTTAATTAATTATGGCAAAGCACGCTAGGGCCATCCGTCTAAGGGCAAGGGTAACTTCGTGGAGCACCTTCTAAAGAAAACTGGCTCGTATGCACGTTACACACGGAGAAACCACAAAAGCACCCATGCAACTAGCCCGTTCACGTAGAATCGAACACAGGGGAGAACTACCGCCGCTGGTGGTACTCAAACACTAAATATTTAAATATATAAAATAGAAGAAAAAATCTTAATAGCTTCTTTTTATAGAAATCAATAATTATAAAATTACAAAATTTCTCAGGATACGAAAATATACAGACAAAATACTCAAGTTTTGGAGCTTTGTGGAATCCACCCAAATGACATTTTTTTTTCTCCCTGAGTATACAGCGTCCATCATCGGTACATAGCGTTACTATTTTCATATTGTCATTTTTTCGAGAGAAAATATGTAAATTCCAATGCTCAGTTGAGCATGGTTTGACTAAATCGTCATAATTATAGTTAAATTTAAAACACTTGTTTCATCTAAAAAAAAAAAAAAAAAAAAAAAAAAAAAAGAAAAAAAAAAAAAAAAGAAAAAAAAAAAAAAAAGCTTTCCGATTAATTTATTATTTTATACAAAAGGTTTTAGCAACGTTAAGAAAGAATTCTAAGAAAAAGACGGATCCACCTTTTCCTCTTTTCAGTTTAAAAGAATGTTTTGTGTAATGTAATTTATTCCTCTAAGATATATATAATCTTTCATGATTTAAAACTTTGGATATACCTTTAAATAACGCGCAATTGGCTAAAATCTGAACATAAGAATAATGTTAAAAGGTAAACTGGCTAATTTGATTCGTATACAATTAATTGGCGAAATATGGGTCACTCGAATAATTCTTTTACAGTTAAAAGAATTATTTGGATGCACATTTTAGTTATCTTTGTTCGCTTACGCGTCAAACTATTACGCTACCAGCGTATCAAGGACTCTAAAGAGACTACTATATTCTAAAATATTCATTTATTTAATAAAACATCACTCAGGTATATAACATACAATTAATTTTCAATAAGCCTAACTAACTACAGAAACATATTTTTCAAATTCTATGAATTGCCCTGCTGCCACGCATGAGCGTGGCAGCAGGGCAATTAATAATTTGGTTTCATGAGAAACCAAACTAACAACAATTATTAGTGGCCAAAAAGTAAAAGTAATAAGTATTGTAAAATTATAAGTATAATTTAAGTAAAACATTAAAGGAAAGTAAATACAAAATACAAACTACATTGTTTTGAAATCCAACAATCTTTTCAAGTCATGTCTTTCAGTCTAAGGGTTAAAAAAGATGGTCTTCCTTTCTAAAAAAGTAGTACCATAAATAAACAAGAGGGAAAATAAAAAATCAACAAAAACTAGCATGCTTCTTGTATCCTGAAGGCATTTACCGTTATAATAGCAGTTTTTGTTGATTCCATCGTCGCTTGTAGCCCATTAAAAGGAAAATCAAATAAATAAATAAAAGCTTCTTGACTTTTTTTGAAATTTAGATGCGTACGTTATGCCAGTTGGCAAGTAAAATATGCTAGGAATAATTTTACTGTAGAAAGTTATGGAAAAAAATTTAGATACAGATTCTATCTGATGTCAAGAATGTTTTCGAGATAAATCCCATAGCAATAACTCATCTAGCTATTTATTTTGCCCATAGGTATCTCCAACGTATACGAATAAATTTAATATATATGTTAGCACTAACGATTATACTTTTAATTTATTTAATTCTTTTCATTGACTTTGATGTTTCAACTGCTTGATATATAGTGAAATGCATCTGACAAGTGGCTTAAATACACACCTTAATTCCAATTCTTCGCCCCAGGTTGTACTCCCGTAGTTAGTCAGGTAGTAAGGCTAGGTGCAGGTTTCATGCGTTTTTCTCACGTAAAGTAAATAAGAATCAATTTCCTTTAGAAAGTTCTCCCCGAAGGCATGTCTTTTCGACGGTTAATAGGCCTGATCTGTTTTGGCATAATCTAATCCAGTCCAATAATTTCAATGTTCGTTGATAACAGATGAAATTCTATAACATATTATTTGCCAGTATTTGAATTAATATATATGTCATAAAAATATTTTAAATAACTTCGGATAATTATTTATTCAGCTGATACTTATGTTTGGAAAACTGTATTTTAAATTTTGACTTTTAAAATATTTAATTACATTTGATACGGATATATATTTAGTATTAAATCATCCCATCTTTTGCACATCTCCCCTCCTCGTATATAAATATTGGTACGAGTCCATGATACAATCAGAAATACACGTGATTTTCACTACTTAAATTAATAAGATAAAATTGACTATGTATTCACGAATTAGACGTATTATAAGAGTAATATACGATAGACACAGAGAGAATACGAGGGTTCGGTAGCCCTTATCCTTCTGACAGAGCTCTCTACCATTTTGTTCCACTTCCCAAGAAAGTACCTGTACATGTTCAGCCTTCACGTTATTCGCTGGCTGCTACTTGCGAGCCAAGGCCTAGGCGACCAACGAAAACCCTAACGCCGTTTCGCATTGGCGCATGGCCGACCTACACTTCTTTCTCGTGACGTCACCAATTTGTTCCCACCTTCGTTTACATCCACTGTAGCTCATTCACCACACCAATTCTCTCTAAAACATCTATTATGCTATTACTGACAACCACAACAATCCGATTCCCAAACCCTCCGCTCATCTGATCCACAATCAAAATTAAATAAAACTGAATTACAAAACTATTCTACGATAATGACGTCACTTGTCGTTGCGGTAAAGCACTCCCTGAAACAGCCAATGAGAACCCCGTCGGACATTGGCATGTTACATGACGGGTGAGTGTTTTCTGAATATTATTTTGCTGATAAAATTTTCAGGGTAAACATGGAGTACAGCTGCTCTGAATCGTACGAATGATGGAAATTACGGTTTTCATTTACAAAACTGATTTCCGGATGGGTTATGCACACCATACCTGTCCGATAGTTAATTTTAGCTATCGCGAGTCCCCTCTCCCGCCACTTTATCGCTAAGCCTGACTTTCAGGTATAGATGCAGCTGTGCTTATGTTAAATGCTTCTTGATTTATTTTAAAATCCGACAGTAACAATAAACCTTTACTTCTTTAAATAGTAATTTCCGGATTATTATACTCGAGTAATTTTAGCTTGCATGTCTATTATTGGATTATTTCTTCTTAGCTTAGCTATCGTATCGTTCAAAAGGAACATATTAAACCTCTATGCAGAATGTAATGTGTTTATGGCGGCCATGTAAGGCGCAGTTGATTTATGGAGGAGTAAACATTGAGCTTTTTCGTTCTAGCAGATCGCTCAACCCACTCAAGTGGCTTATTTATGACATCAAGAATCAATTAAATTAAGTATGTCTTGTTTAATATTTTCTCGTTTATGGAAAACGTGGTGTGCATTGTATTTTTATAATGTACGTTGTATGATACGTACGATCTAGAGCAGTTGTTTTTATGTAAAGGTGTAGATTTAAATTCATTGTTTGTAATTTTTAAACTTAAAAATCAAGATTTATTTGTTTACAGAAGAAAATATGACCTATTATGTACGTTTTGCATAGTTGTGATCAAATATATAAGAAACATTTAAATATAATTTTTTGTTGTGTAGATTTGTGGACGAATTTCATTTACACAGTGATATGTTTTAATTTGTCCATGATATATACGATACATTACTGAGTTTTTGACATTTAATTATTCATAGTCGAATTATTAAACCAAACGTTTGTGAAATATTGAGTAAATTTCTTTCCATATTAATAATTTTTCAGCTTCGTATTTAATGATGCACACATTTATGCATCAGATTCATTTTCTCATTAGCTTTGGTTCAGAAATTCATTTTATAAGCTTTTTGGAATAATTTTAAAATGCTTTAATAATTATTCGTGTTATTTATTAAACTTGTTAAACTCTGTTGTTTTGAAACACATTTACATGTACGTATTTGCAATCAAATATTATTTCAATGCAATAAAAGGCTTTTTTTTAAAAAGATTTTACGTTAAAATCTTGTTTGATACAAAATTTTAACACATAAACATTATTTCTTTTTATATGCCACAAAACTGTGTATGATTTACATTTTCATATTTCCCTTGCCTATTTAAGCCACCTTCTTCTAAATTCAGTATAAGAAGATTTCAGTAAGAAGTAAATAGATTAATATATTTAGAAAGTGAGATAAAACAAGAGTCTGCATTATCATTTGAAATTTGTTATAATCGGAAGACATAGAGTTGCATTTGTATTCAAATGTAGGCTATAGAGTTTCGATAAAATGTTGCTAAGTTTCTTGAGATAAGTGTTCTAAAGAATTGATTGCAATTTGTCATTGCACTTCGTAAATAGTTATCATGACAAGGAAACCGAAAAAATATATATATATTTTGGAATTCATAGTGCATTATTGCATGTGTTTATATTTTTTAATATACTAAAGCAGTATTTGTAAATTGGGATTTCTTGAAACTTGTATGATTTTGCAAGAAGATGTTGAGGATTCTGCAAGAAACTATGATGAATAAGTTTATAAATAGCGTATTTTGTACAGAACAATTTTTTATATAGAAATTCCATAAGATAAACATAGCAGAGTCCTTCAGATCAACAGTCCTTTACTCTGCATTCAGAATAATTCAACAATCACTTTTTGTTTGTTAAAATCTGCTGATCAAACAGAATGTTATCTTTGACATAATTTGATAGTTTGTTAATAACTAGACTGTAATAATTTCTAATGTCATCTACATTTGCAAACAGTACGAGTATATTTTAATTATTATATTATCGTAATTGCATTATATATTTATGTATCATGTTTTCCTGTTGCGGTATTCCGATTTTGCATTTTTTGTCTTCTTCCCTTTTTTACACTATTTCTTGGGATTGCATAATGAATTTTCATGGAAATTCCGATCTACCTATTCCTCTTTTCAGTAGCAAAGTGATTGAAAAGCTGCGATATGAGATAGCTGTTGTTGATTACCGTTCGCAATTCTCCTGCTAGCAGATTTGTGACTGTACCTTATTGTGAGCTAAACTTCCAGTTCATTCTAAGTAGAGTTACATCCAGGCTTCCAAGTGTTGCATATTTTTTGCGAGTGAAAATCTTGAAGAGGAAAGAAAGAAAACAAATTAAAAATGAGAATGGAAATGAAACTGGGATGCGTTTGAGAGATTGCAGAAAGACAAAAATGTTATCATGGATTTATGTGTTTAAAAAACTATTAAGAGTTGTGAATAACTCGTCCGTTCTTAATTAAAATTTGTTGTTTTCGGTAACATTCCTTACGTCCGCAGTAGTTGGAATTTGGAAGACTCTGCTGTATCTCTAAGTTTTATATTGTGTTAAACTTTGAGGTTCCATATTGAAATATAATTGCATTCATGCGATGTCGATTTTTTATTCAGACAAGCAAATTACGAGCTCCATCCAAACAAAAATATGTTATGGGTATCTCCTTAATTAAAAGAAGATTTCATCTCATGTTATCTGGCAACTATTAATTTGGTGTCAAAGAGTTTTACGATGGATTTCATAACTCTCATTATCTTTTACTTGAATGTAAAATAATGAGTGTGAGTTAAAAATTTTAATAAAAAATTGAGTGTTTATATTTTGAGATAGATAATACGTGCAGCACATACGTTCTCTTATAAGCTTATATTTTTTGGATGATATATTTGGCTTCAAAACCCTTTTCCCTTGGCAAGTTCTATTAGAAGCTTTGAACAAAGGGGATTAACAGATCTTTTTGTACTCGTATGATTACAATTTTCTTAACATTTTCAGTTCAAAAATTGTTTATTAAATTTTTTTCTTTTTGCAATGTATTTCTGAAGATAAGGATAGGTTGCCTTCAATTATTCTTACCGCTTTTTCTAGATATTTTAATCCTAACTTTTTAAGATTCATTTATATAATTTAGCAGCACTAGGTACTAATTTTGAACTTGTTAGTTCATTCATAATTTTTGTAAAATGCACTATTGACTACTTTTTAAATTTCTCGAGATATATATGTATGTATGTGTGTGTGAGAGAGTGATAATATTAGAATTGTTGTGGATAATAGATGTTGAAGCACAAAATAATAGAAGCTTGTAGTCATGGCAGATTTTAAATATTCATTTTATTTTATTTAACATTTGTGGCCACATGATGGTTTGGCACTGATAGTGTTTGTTTGAGAACATTTATGTTTTTTTATGTTGCTGCAATAAGAAGAGAGCAGCACGGCATAGTTAGGCTAAGAAGCAGAAGTTAAGTGTAATGTGTTCAGGTGAGAATCTCAATTCAGAGTGGGGTTATATTCAGTTTGATTAGCTAATTAATAAAGCTTTAAAATTTATAGTAGCTTAAGGCATATCAAGTTATTTTCATCGATGTGTTATGTAAAATTCAAAATACGCAAGTCAAATTATGACAGTCCAGAAAAGTTTATTATAAACATTTACTATTTTTAGAATAGAAAGAGAAAATGGCCAAATTAATATGAAGAATTAAGTAGATATTGCAAATTTAAATTAGATTGCTACTGTTCTGTTACCGGGGGACCAGATCCAGAAATATATGAATGTATGCTTGTGTTTATGTATGTGTATATGCATACAGGAACACGTACATCCACATGTATGTGCATACATACATACTCTTATACTTTACAAACTGTTACTTCTGGCAACTTTTATACAGTCAGTGTGTTTTGTTCCACTTCCCCAGCTGTCTGCAATTTCTTCCAATCCGTTACAAGCCTTTTCTGCACATGCGGAAAGAGTGGGTGCAAACATTTCTGTTTCTGTCAGGGTTCGGCGATTTTCTTCCACAGGGAAAAAAAACTGGGAGTAAGAAATAGGTTTTTGCACCTAAAGTGGTAGAAACTATTTTTTATTTATATTTCAGATTTATTTATATATGTTGTACTATTATATTAATTTGAATATATTATTTTCACTATAATTTAACTAGCCTCATTCATATGCTTGCAGTAACCCTTTTTTGCAACATACATATATGTGTGCATTTTTGCATAATTCCTCTGCATTCATATGTATGAACTTAATTCTGAAACTGAATTTTAGTTCATTTGAACCCCCCTTCCCCCCACCCACAAATAAATAAAAAGGTAGACTTATTGAGAAAAAGGGAATTAGAAAGGAAATTAAATTTACACTACAGTTACACTTCAAACTACTAAAGCTACTAAACTTGCTTTGTGTTAAACGTAACACAAAGCAAAGTGCATCTAGAGAATGAAGCTAAACCGGAGATAGTGCTCGGAACTAACGCTGAACTAACAGCGGCAACTGAGAGCGGATGCTGTCTTTGGTCTTATATTAGTTTTCACCTGGCCACCGAGATATAATCTAGTAATCTACTTAGGCTTCTCGAAATTACCTGAAGGCATATGAGAGCCAAATTACGGTTCCAGCTAATATATTGATTGATTATATTTATTCAATTACAATACCTGTTATGGTGAAACAGGGACCAGACCAAAATGTTGCCAAGTTTGTTGACTTTTGGTGATTTCTTGCAAATCGATCAACAAAAATTAGTTGCCAAAGCCCATTGCCAGCTTGACGATATATCACCAATTTAGTGAGATAGCTATTTACTCGATGTTAAATAGTTTGCCCCCGTATTCTAACTTTTCTGGCAAGCTTTGCTCCTTAAGATTATCATTTTACGTTATGCAAAAGAAATAACAAGTTTCACATACATTTACACATAATCATATTTGTACAGAATTCGTAACGGTAGTTTGAAAATGGTATATCCTTATCCCGTGGTGGAGAA